TGGGTAAGGTGGAGGGTCAGAGAAAAAGAGGAAGACCCCCAACGAGATGGATCAGCCAGGTGGCATCATTGATGGCGTCTAGCGTGGCAGTAGTAGTGAGCTTGGCCCAGGATTGGACATTATTTCGTTCTGCTGTGCATGGGGTCGCTATGAGTCGGTTCTGACTCCATGGCACCTGACAACAACAACAGCCTTCCAGATTATCTCACTTTTTATAAAGCCAGTCAAAAGAAAATGTTCACCCATGCAAACTAACACATAATTCACAATAAAAACTTTAAAAAAATAAAGTTTTCTTGATGATATTCTAGAAAAATATCCTGAAATTCAAGTCTTCCAGAGCTAGACTTTTATTCAATAAATATTGCTAGATATAGCAAAATGAATAACAATTCATTCAACGTAGTTATAAAGATGTTTTTCTGTACCCTGCTTTTCTACATTCAGGACTCCAATTCCTCTGATATAACTAGCTTTTCTAATCACTGTCCATGTGATTTGTTGTCAAAATGTGTATCTTTGCATTTGGCATTAGTTTTATTGAATATAGCATCAAATTTCTAATTTGGGGGTGTCTTTCTGAAAGTGTTGACCTCTTTTAGACATCAACAGCCCAAATAAATTAATGCACGTATATATTAAGATGTTTATATATATACAACTATTACTTCTTCCAAACAAAAAGGTTGACATATAAGAAAAAGGTGCATCCTGTTTTATGGTAAATAACACACCTAGATGGGAGAAGATTTTATATTAATGTTGTATTGTTAAGCGTCATCAAGTTGATTTCAATTCATAACAACCCTGTATAGGGTTCTAAGGAGCAGCTGATCGGTTTGAACTGCTGACCTTATGATTTGAAGTCTAGTGCTGATCCTAGAGTGTCACACCAGGAATCCTTTATATGAATGGATGTTGGTAAATACCAAACAGGATTGTTTTTCATTTGTAGCTTGATCACTTCACCACTACCACCAGCTGCTGTTGTCACCCTCTGACTGATGATGACCCTTATGCCTGTCAATGTTGATAGAACTGTTCTCTTTCAGGTTTCCAATGGTTGCTTTTCTTCAGAATTTTATTGCCTGATATTACTTCTGAGTGCCTGTAAGTAGACTTGAACCTCCAACCTTTTGATTAGATCCTGGATGTGTCAACTGTTTTCATTGTCCGAGGACACCTACCTTGAAAAATAGATTGTCAATATCATGAGTGTTCTTTAAAAATAAATACTTTGAATTCTTTCAGATTGACATTAACACTTTCCTGTCCAATGGATCTCAAAAATTTTCCAATGGATGTACAAACATGTATAATGCAACTGGAAAGCTGTAAGTATCAAAAAATTAACTTGCTCTGAATACTTTGAAAAATATAGTTTATACAAACTTTGATTGGCTTACATGGATAATGTTTTAATCATTGTTTTGGTTAGATTCTCATCAAATAGGCATACATTAAACCAGGTATTGAAAGTGATGAAATCTATTACTCATGCTCTCTGTACTGTGATAAAGAAGTAAACAAAGGGTATACAAATACCAGTTTTTAAGTTTGGAAATAGGTATATTTCCTTATGCAAACCACCAGAAGAAAAAGGATAATAGTCATTAAAAACAAACTATATTCATTTATTGAGTAGTTACTGGATACTAAAAATTTTCATATATTATTTCTTATACTCATAAAAAGGTTATATATTTGTTTCCACATATAAAAATGATAATTTTAGCTAGTTTGACTATTGTGTTCCAATTTATAAAGGTGGTTATGACAAACCAGCTGCCTCTAAAATTTATGATTCTTGCATAACTTTTTGCAGCTATTAAATACTGTATTAATTAATTCAGAGTGTACTCTGCTGAATATATTGTGTATATTAAAAAGAAAATACATTTCTTAATTTTTATCAGAAACATATACAAGCTTAAAGATATCTTTTAAATTTAGTCATTAGAAATACAGACAGATGCATTACTAGTTAATGTTTACACAGATGAGACCTTCTAGTTCTTCTATTTCTCTAAATTTTATTATGCATTCAACTATAAATTAATAGGTTTTCCAGGTTTAATTACATTTTAAAAGAATTATGCAATATATGCGTATGTGTGTTTTTCTTGTAGCACTATATGTATTTACGTGGATAAAGTCTGTTTGAAATATTCCGAGGACAATTTAAAGGTGAATCTATGCATTTGTTCTGCTGTGCATAAGGTCGCTATAGGTCGGTAGCGACTCAATGGCACCTTACAACAATTATACATTCAGGACATGTAGTGTAATGCAATTGCCACTAGATGGCAGACCTACCTCATGGGGGATTGCAACCATATAACATTTTAAGAGAATGAAAAAAACAAAAAACAAAAAAATGTTATTGTTAAGTGCTACTGAGTGGGTTCTGACTCATAGCGACATTATGTAGGGTTTCCAAGGAGCAGCTGGTGGGTTTGAACTTCCGACCTTCTGGTTTGCAGTCCAATGCTGAACCAACAGAGCCATAGCAGGAGTCCTTCTCTTAAAATAAAGAAGTGGAAATATCACTGTCTGATAATTGTTGTTAGGTGCCATCGAGTCGGTACTGACTCATAGCGACCTTATGCACAGCAGAACGAAACACTGCGCGATGCGGGGCCAACCTCACTATTGTTGCCAAGCTTGCGTCCATCGATGCTGCCACCTGGAATAATCCCTGCTTATTGACTTTGAATGCATTACTTTTGTAAATAATTCTTAAATGTTAAGCATACACATGAAAAAAGAAACAAACTAAATGAGAAAATAATCTCGTTTGAATTAGGGAGTCACTTAGCAATATAAACGAGAACAGACAACAAAAGATTCACAGTATCAAAAAAGTTTTTGGACTGTACCATAGAGAAAGATATTTTGAGGACTTGTTTATTCAGTATCTTGAGTAGAACTAGGTACATAGTAGGGAATAGAGTAAAATATGTACAAGACTGGTGTCATAATTAATAAGACCTTGATGCTGGATATTATTCATTATTCAGTAAGGAGTTATTCAAGACTTAGAAGAAAGAAAATCACTTAGTTAATAATACAAACCACTAATACACACAATACATACAAAACACAAATACACACATTTTGTGAACTCTGGAGGCTTATGTATTGCTAAGATGCTGATATTTATGCCACCCACTCGTATTTCCACAGGATTCTAGACTAAATTAGGCCTGGTGATCTGCTTCTGAAAACTAGTCTATGAACAGCTAAGGGTCACAACAGAAAATTATCTCATGTAGCACGGGAAGATTTGTTGTTAAGTGTTGTAGAGTTGTTTCTGACACTTAATGACCCTGTATAAGGTTTCTGAAGAATGGTTGGTAAGTTTGAACTGCCGACCTTGCAGTTCAAACTGACCTTGTGGTGAAGTGCTTATCTTAGAGCGCCACACCACCACAGCAAATAACTTAAACGTATCAATGATCACACAGATGGCACAAGACTAGCAACACTGTTGTACAGCAGTTCACCATAAGTTGGAATAAATGTTAGCAGCACTCCTCAGAAAGCAGTTAGCAGCACTCCTCAGAAAGATTATTTCAGTCAAATGAGCCAGAAATATATAAGAATGTGTCATAATATTCCAGAAAAAAAGATTAGAAAGTGGGGACAAAAGGGAATGATGTAAACTATAAAAACAATAGAGGTTGATATGAAGTGAATGTGAAAGCTGTGGCACTACTGAATCAGAGCTAAGGAGCTTAGATATATAGGCTCTTACTAGAAGCATTGACAGAAAAGATAACATAGGATCAGAAGTAAATGCTGAAGATCATATTGATAGATCCAATTTTAATGTGTTCAAATTTTAGACATTTTGGTCTAAAGCCAAAGGAAGATATTAGAAACAGAAATACACTTTAAAAGACACATATGTTAGTACTGTGGTTGTTAAGTGCCATGGAGTCTATTTTGGCTCATAGTGTCCCTGTATAGGATTTGCAAGACTTTGAACCTTTTTTGAGAGGAGAAAGCCTCACCTTTCTCCTGCTGAGCAGCTGGTGGGTTTGAACCACAGGCTCTATGGTTTGCAGTCCCGTGTATATCCTATGGAGCTACTATGCTCCCAAAAAACCTATGTAGAATAGTTTTAAAAAATCAGATGAAATAACTGATATAGTCAAGAAAACCAAAAGTCTGGGCACATCTTTAAGGAATATGTGCTTTTGGGATTGTTGGAGGAAATTTCACAAAGGGTTGTAATAAATAACAAATTAAAACCTATATTATTCATTCTCAAAAGTGAAGAGGCCTTCATGAAGACTTGAAATAGCAAATGCTGAGAATACATTTTGAAAACAGGCATTGAAATAGAGTCTTTGTTATCATGGCAAACAAGAAGAAATTTGACTACAATGATGAGGGTCAAAGTTGAATTCTGAAGAGTTAAAAAAAAAAAGTGGGAGACAAGAGAGTGGGAGTAGTGAATAAAAACTATCATTACTTTAATTTTACTTGTTAAAGAAACATGAGAAATAATACATGTCTGAGGGGTACCTGAATCACTGAACTTCTTTTATGGAATAAGAGAGGCTCACTAAGGCAATTTACAGAACATGGGGGCTGATATAATAAAACTTCATATTTCTCTTTCCCAGAACATTTCCAAATCAATGTAAAGCTCTAAGTAGGAAAACATACTCTCTTACCTCTGAATCCTAATTTCTGTAGGAAGAATAATTGGATTATCTAGGGTGTCTTTTTATTATTTCAGAATTATTAAGCAGCCCCTACCCTGGTGTGGCACTGCAGGATAATGCACTACACCACAAGGTTATTTTGAATCTCAAGGTTGTTGTTGTTGTTGTTATGTGCCATGGAGTCGGTTCTGACTCATAGAGATCCTGCATAGGGTTTCCAAGGCTGTAAATCTTTACGGGAGCAGAAAGCCTCATCTTACTTCCACAGGACAGCTGGTAGTTTCCAACTGCTGACCATGAGATTAGCAGCCCTATTCATAACCACTATGCTACCAGAGCTCTCAAGGCAGGTGGTTCAAACTCATCAGCTGCTCCTTGGAAACCCTATATAGGGTTACTATAAGTCAGAACCAACTTGATGGCACTTAACAACAACAACCCTCTAGTTGGACTCCTGGTGTGGCACAATAGAATCAGCACTGGACTTTGAAGCACAGGGTCAGCAGTTCAAACCCACCAGCTGCTCCTTGGAAACCCCATAACTCAACAATAATAACCCTGTAATTAAGGAGCCCTGGTAACATAGTGGGTTGTGAGTTAGACTGCTGCTAACAGCAAAGTCAGCAGTTTGAAACTACCAGCCACTCTGTGAGAGAAAGATGAGGCTTTCTGCTTCAGTACAGATTTACAGCCTCCAAAACCCTATACAGTGTAGCCAGGAGTCAGAACCAGATCCATGACTCACAACCATGTCCACAACCCTCTAATTAGAGTTTATATTAGCTCAAAACATAGACAATGTTTATTAAACTGTTAAACAAATGTTAAGAAGATCTTGTCAGTCAAGTAGAAGCTACTAAAGCCAAACTCTTCAATTTGTTAATTATTTTACATAGCTTTATACATTATTACTAAAAAAAACAAATCAAGACATGTTAAGTAAAAATGTAAGTACAAAGTAATTTCTAATACCACATAAGAGTTGTGAAGAACCCATTGCCCACTGTTGAATCAATTCTGACTGCAAAGGGGAAAAACAAAACAAATTGTAGTAGAGGCATAAAAAATAAGCAAGAGATAAACATAATTTAAAGACAAAAGTCATAGGGATTGTGATGGTCAAACTCATTTACATTGAATAAACTTACAACAAATGTATGCCAATGGTCAGGATCTGTTATAAGTAACCTGGAAAATGTTCATTCATCAATTTTTTAAAAACCTGTCAAATATCTACTATAGTCCATGAACTATATTGGATGATTGTTGTTATGTGCCGTCGAGTCAATTCCGACTCATAGTAAGTGACCTTTTATAGGGTTTCCAAGGCTGTAAATCTTTGAGGATGTAGAAAGCCTCTTATTTTTCCCATATTGGATAATAGAGTAATAAATAAAGCAAAATGTCTTTGTTTTTAATAGATATATGCTTATCATCTTTAATTGACTCACTGCTGAATATAATAATTCAATTAAAGATAAGGATATATAAATAGTATCCTAATAGGAGTACTGTTGTGGTGCTATGGTTTAATGTGCTGAATTGCAAAGTCGATTTGAACTGCAAAGTTGACCGTTCAAGCTCATCAGTCAGCCCTTAACAACAACAACTAGCACAAAGTAGAAATGGACTAAAGTGAGAGTTATATAAAGAATAAA